TTTCAGCAATAACCATTAATACATCAGCAGTTGACCTAGAAGTGAAAGCCATATTGGATTTCTGAAAAAAGACACTGCGAGGTGAGATGTTTAATAAACTCAGAGTTGATTAGAGCCTCTTGTACTTTGCCAAAAAGAGGTAGAAGGCTAATAGTTCAACAGAAGGATCATATAGTTTGTCAGAGTTCTTAAAGAAGATTTTCAGCAAGTAGGAAAGCAAGAAGCAGCAAGGCAATTATTGTAGATTTTAGAGAGAACAGGAGCCAGTTCAGGACCACATTTAACAACTATTACAGGGATCAAATTGATATGCTTTGTGGGGATCCAGTTGAGAGATGATACCATGAACAGAGTTATATGCATATCACATACTAGAGCTAAGCATTCATTTCCCCTAAGTCTGGAATTAATCCGAAGATAACAATAGGAACTGAATAAGCAAATATGACATATGGCACTACTTAAATTGACATGCTTGCTCATGAAAAAAAGGGAAAAAAGTAGGGAAATAATTTTTGTAGATTAGCATTCATTTGACATTCCTCCAGTCCCAAACATAAAAAAAGCATTTTTTTCTCATTTTAAAAGGTTCCTTTTTATAATAAAATTTTAAAAAATCAGGAATCAAATTGACAGAGTTATCAGCACTTTATTGTTCTTTACAAATGTCAATTTTGAAACTATGCTTATACCATTGATAACTGCATATTATTACGAATTGGGAAAAAGAAGATCACCAATAATATGCAGTTATCAATGACATAACCAGTTTCAAACTTGATATTTGTAAATAAAAACAAAGTACAGATTACTCTTTAAGCCAGAGATAGATTTGATACTGCATTTAAATTATGAACAGGACCTCCTAAAATGATTTAAAAAAAAAAAAAAAAAAAAAAAAAATATTTTTTTTTTTAGTCTGATGTCTAATAAATGTTAATCTGTAAACATCCTGCACCCACCATTTTTTTTTCTAAAAAAAAAAAAAAAAAAAATTCAAGATGTTCATGTACTAAGCAAGTCTTGCAGAAAATGGTTTACAAGTTCTAAAGGATAATTATCTACAAAAGATTCCTCAGAATTGAGTAATTTTACCTTATACAATTCTATTTCATAAATTGTTTATAACTAGCATAGAGCCCATCAAAAATGATAGGTATATTTACATATGGATCAGCACATCTATCTAGGAACAGAATTGATGTGTGCACTCTGCCAGAAATCAAAGTGCTGCTCCCATCACCTTGACCCAGGATCAATGGAGAATCTCTGCATTTCAAAAAGTGTCATATGCAATACAGGATGCAACAGGTAAATTGTCACCATTTTATATTTTTCATTTTGCACATATGCGTTGTTTGTTGATTCTGATGACTGTACAGTATAATAGAGTCAGTTGGGAACGTCTGTGAGAAAAAGAGCACCATGACGCAATTCACTCTGCCAGAAATTTGGAAATGGCATGCTGTACTGCTTGGCATTTGTGCCGGAAGCTCCGATACAAACATTTGGGTGTCAATCTGAAGACAGTGCCATGGATTTGAAGAGAGTTGGAAAAGTCTAATGATGATTACGAAGGTGTTTGGAGTGATCACTAGTAATGGTGATATTATCTCCATTCATCTTCGCACAGGGCCTAAATGTCAACATAGAAGCCTACATCAATGGTGCTCTGGGTCAAGAGGGTGGCTGCTGGAAAACCTGGCAATAGGATTCTGCACCATGTTACACAAGCAGGAGAAAAGAGAAAACAGCCAAGACTGTCAGACAATTTCTTTGACCACATCACCTCTTATATCTGGCCACCTAACCCCCAGACTGCAACCCCCTTGATTATTATGTGTGGGGTGCAGTTGAGCAAGAGACCAACAAAACTCCTTGTAACACCAAAGAGGAACTGAAAGCAAGGATTATGGCAGCATTCACCAACTTAAACAATGAGACTGTCCAGAAGAATTCAGGAGATTCTGAAGCTGTCTGAAGGCCGTGGTTGAAGCCAATGGTGATTTTATTGAATAAATTTACTCTTTATTATTTCAAGATATTTTTGTATAATTTTGGTAAGTATATCTGTTAAAATGAGTTGTCAGTGTTATTTTCATTTTTGAATAATTCAGATGCCAATTCAACCATTGCACCCTGTATATATATATCGATAGATGATGTATTTTATATATGTGGATTATTGGAGCAAATACAATGTTATGTAGATCCCTAAGTAATGAAGTAGAGGAAGTGGGGGTTTATAACAAAAAAATAAATTACAACTGAAGAAGGCTAAAGAACATATTAGACAAAATGCTGCCATGAAAGCAAAAATATACAGAAAGCCTAAATAATATGGCAGATGAAAAATGCTTCATTTCAGAACTTTAAACCAAAATGTATCTATTGCAACAACCAACATGTTAGAATAATTTATCTAACAATGAGGAGTATTTTCTCTTCTAGTTGAACAAGGCTTCACACTTAGCAGGTCTGACCTCACAATTCTTGTGAGCTGTAAGATCTTTTCACACTATTAAAATATTCTTAAGAGAGGAGCCAACTCTCAAAGATAAGCATTCTTTGTCTGCACTATGAGCAGGTGTCCATGAGTGGATGAGTTTAAACTCTCAGACAGACCTTTGAATAGAGAAAAGGTTATTAATTAGGCTGCTTGCAGTATCAGGCCATCCTGATCTACACTGTCCAAAGTCAGCCAATTCACCTACTTATACTGTAAAGATTCAAGAGTGACAGTTAAAAGCAGTTCAAAATTCATTCAAATGACAGTTAAAAAAGAATAGAAATAGAAGAGAGTTCAAAATTCATTCAAAAAGCAAAGAAAAAGAGAGACAAAAAAAAAAGAGGAAAAAGAGAGAAAAAAAAGCAAAAGGAAAAGAGAGAAAAAAAAGCAAAGAGAAAAGAGAGACAAAAAAAAGCAAAGAGGAAAAGAGAGACAAAAAAAAGCAAAGAGGAAAAGAGAGACAAAAAAAAGCAAAGAGGAAAAAAGAGAGAGACAAAAAAAAAAAGAGAAGAGGAAAAAGAGACAAAAAAAAAGCAAAGAGGAAAGAGAGAGACAAAAAAAAAGCAAAGAGGAAAGAGAGAAAAAAAAAAAAGAGGAAAAGAGAGACAAAAAAAAAAAGAAAGAAAAAAGAGACAAAAAAAGCAAAGAGAAAAGAGACAAAAAAAAGCAAAGAAAAAAAGAGAGAAAAAAGCAAAGAGGAAAGAGAAAAAAAAAAAGCAAAGAGGAAAAGAGAGACAAAAAAAAGCAAAGAGGAAAAGAGAGACAAAAAAAAGCAAAGAGGAAAAGAGAGACAAAAAAAAGCAAAGAGGAAAAGAGAGACAAAAAAAAGCAAAGAGGAAAAGAGAGACAAAAAAAAGCAAAGAGGAAAAGAGAGACAAAAAAAAGCAAAAGGAAAAGAGAGACAAAAAAAAAGCAAAGAAAAAAGAGAGAAAAAAAAAGAGGAAAGAGGAAAAAAGAGACAAAAAAAAGCAAAGAGGAAAAGAGAAAAAAAAAAAAAGAAAAGAGAGAAAAAAAAAAAAAAAGGAAAAAAAAAAACAAAGAGAAAAAAAAAAAAAACAAAAAAGACAAAAAAAAGCAAAGAGGAAAAGAGAGACAAAAAAAGCAAAGAGGAAAAGACAAAAAAAAAAAAAAAGGAAAAAGAGAGAAAGAAAAAAAAAAAGAGGAAAAGAGAGAGACAAAAAAAAAAAAGAAAAAGAGACAAAAAAAGAGAAAAAAAAGAAAAAAAAAGAGGAAAAACAAAAAAGCAAAGAGGAAAAGAGAGAGACAAAAAAAAAGAAAGAGGAAAAGACAAAAAAAAAAAGAGGAAAAGAGAGACAAAAAAAAGCAAAGAGGAAAAGAGAGACAAAAAAAAGCAAAGAGGAAAAAGAGACAAAAAAAAAGCAAAGAGAAAAGAGAGACAAAAAAAAAAAAGAGGAAAAGAGAGACAAAAAAAGCAAAGAGGAAAGAGAGACAAAAGAGACAAAAAAAAAAAAGAGGAAAAAGAGAGACAAAAAAAAAAAGAGGAAAAAAAAAAAAGAGGAAAAGAGAGACAAAAAGCAAAGAGGAAAAAGAGACAAAAAAAAAAAGAGGAAAAAGAGAGAAAAAAAAAAGCAAAGAGGAAAAGAGAGACAAAAAAAAAAGCAAAAAAGCAAAGAGGAAAGAGAGACAAAAAAAAAAGCAAAGAGGAAAAGAGAGACAAAAAAAAGCAAAGAGGAAAAGAGAGACAAAAAAACAGAGGAAGAGACAAAGAAAAGATCTGTGTACACACAAAATGAAGCTCTTTTAAACAAATTTCATATTGATGCTGCTTTAAAATTAAGACAAACATCAAATTTTATTAATAAAAGCAAGACTCTGAATAGCACTGAATACAGAATTTAAGATCTATTATCTATTCAACGGATGTGCATTGTGGTGTAATGGATATTGGCTTAGAGTGAGAACTCCGAGTCGAGTTGAAAAATCCAGCCAAGTTCGTTAGATTCAATTACGCACATATACCCTTTAGAAAGTTATAAATCCATCTCTTCTCCCCCAGCTATGGGTTGAATAGCAAGACAGACTTGGTTCTTTAGCCTTGGTTGGAAAGTTTTGGATATTTTATTTTGAACATACCAGTTGATTTCTCCTTTTTCCTAATTAGAAATAGAAGTCCTGTATACACACAGAAAAGAGACAGCACATTAGAAGAGACTGTATTGAAGACAACAGAGAGGAGGATGCCCACTTGTGAGTAACTAAACAGCAGACACAATTCAAATAGAGACAAGGATGTAAAGCCCAACAACTTATAAACCTGCCTTGTTAATCAAGACATTTTGCAAAACTGGAAAAAAAATTGTAAATATACACAATAACACAATGCTTGCCAAAGAGAAAAAAAAAAAAAAAAAATAAGAGAAAAAAAATTTTTTTAGGAAAGTATGTGCAAAAGTTTTCAGCATTCAACAGTTTTCAAAAAGGTGGTGAGAATTTTTGCCTATATCTAATAAATAATTAATTGGTTATTTACCTTGATTGAATAGGCCAGTTCAATTTGTTCATGTATTCCCAAATATTCAGTAAGGCTACCAACAATGACTGCATACCTGAAAAATAGAGCATAAGCTTTAAAATTTTTAATATCAGACAATTATATATTTTGCTTCATAATTTATGAGATACATTTTAGTTTAAAAGAAAAAAAAAAAAATTCAACAGGTATCCTTAGGTTAAAAAAAAAAAAAAAAAATACAAGAATGGATAATATCAGACATTTACAAAAATGTGGCCATAAAGTTAACAGATGATTAAAAAAAAAAATCATTGAATTTTTATGAAATGAAATTATCAGCCATTATTAATTTTTACCTAGTATTTCTTAGATATTATGGGTACGTGGTCGAGTGGTTAGAACATTCACATTCTAATCATGAGACCCAGGTCTGAATCTCATCAGGTTCGATTTGTCAGGAAGGAGACTTCCTGATGTTATCGGACTGGAGGGGTCAATCCCAGTGTGCAGCACCTTTAGAAAGTGCTTGAAAACCATACCACAGATTAACCCGAGTCTTGTGAGTGAAACTGGGTAGATAAAACCCTTGGGGGCTGTAGATAGCTGTGCTAGCAAAAAGTCAAAAGTCATCATGGCCGAGGGCTTGAGTGTGCTGGCTTTGTTTAAATTGTTGATCACACTAGCTAACACGCTCTTTCCCAGAAACTGTAACTAAGGTCCGCTCAGCATAGTTGCAGTATAAACCACAGGTGGGCTCTCTGGGTGTTGAATAAACACAAATGCACCTGAGCAAGTGTTTGCAATAGGGATTGGCTAGCCACCCTATTTGATGGGTATCCTCGAATACGAGTGGCCAGCTATACATTTCTTAGATATTAATTGTAGTTGCTTTTAATCACATCTCTACAGCTGTGAGCAATTAGCACAGATGAGAAAAAAAGAATAAGATTTTGACAAACTTGCATCACTTTTGCAAAAAAAGAAGCCTGTCTTTCCATGACAGCTGCTCTACCACTTGAGCTACAAGAATCTTCATGGTGGATAGAAGATCAAATAACTACAAGTTTAGCCACGGGAGGCCATCTTGATAGAGTAAGGTTTGTGTTCATGCACATGTGCCCACTAGAAATTAAAAGTGACATCAAATAAGCATGACATTAATAATTTTGGTATTTATCTACATGGCCACAGAATATGACACAAAATAGAGTTTAAAGTGGGAGACCATGAATACATGTGCTAAGGAGAAAAATTACACCCGTCCTTCCTCTTTTGAGGGTCTTATTACCTTATGCACCAGGTAATGACAATGGTCACCGCCTGTGAGAAAACTATGCCTGGAAAGGCAGCCTCGGGACCGAGTTCATATTAATATTAAAACCAGCAAAAGTGCTTTTTTTTTTTTTTTCATATCTATCAACATGCGATATATATCATCATTCTCTTGACTTTTGTAATGGGGGGGGCGGTGGATGATCCAAATGCAGAAGCCACACATAACTCCTCCAAAACAGTCTATCAAAGACATCCAGCCAGCAACTCCGGTATAGTCATACATGTCCATTGTTTGAAATTGTCCAACCAGTTTTTACATTGGCATACTCTCCTACTTTCAATGATGCCTTGTATGATGGTCTGGCACAGGTTGTTGCAACTTGTAATGTGTCCAAACGATGCCATTTTTCTCCGTTTGACAGTGACAAGAAATAATATCGCACATTGTTAATAAGATAGTGTTTGATGTAAAATATAACGGAGCTATAAATTATATATTAATAAAGAACAGACATTTTCTTCCCCCCTCACTGGTAACAACTCTGAGTTTCATTTACAATGCAATCTTCAGATGTTAAGTACTTAACTCGGCACCTGAAGATTGCACTGTGCATGAAACTCAGAGTTGTGTTACTGGTGAGGAAAAGATATATATATATATATATATATATATATATATACAAAGAATAATCACACATAGAATTAATCATCCATTGGCGACATCCATAGAAAAACATAATATATGCATTAAAATCCTGTTCATCCATAGTGCGAAGTTTTGATCCTTGACGAAAAACTTGTTGTCTGTAGTTTTTCAGTTTATTTGATGTTAAAATGCTAGTACTTACGGATAGTCTTCCATCCATCATCAGGCATGTGTTTTTTTTCCTTATAAAATCAAAAACTTGAGACGATATATCTGTATGTCTTCAAGGATCAAAACTCGCACTATGGATGAACAGGATTTTAATGCATATATTATGTTTTCTAGCGATGGATGTCGCCAATAATCGCATTAATACTTGATTAATTCTATGTGTGATTATTCTTTGTATGTAAATCATATGCTGCCTAATGTTAATATATATATATATATATATATATATATATATATTGGATAGATGTGAGTTTGTGAATTATAAATCAACTTTAACGAGACTGTCAGATTAACTGATTACTGTTTTAAAAATTTGGGTTTATGTAGATTACAAATATTTTGTTATTGTGGAAGTGGTGGGGAGATTTCGACATTTGTCATTCATCGTAAATGTTGTTTATGCAGACACATATACATATACATAAACAGGGACTCATACATATATATAAACATATTTGTTAATGCTATGACACATGTATGTATAAAATGTGGTGTTAATGGACAAAGCCCGACAATTATAAATAAACTCCAACCCCAGACTGTTTATAATAAACAGGGCATTTACAAATATTTGTATCTATAAAAAATAAATGTTAAACATAAAATGTCACACATTATATATATATATATATATATATATATACACACACACACTCTCTCTCTTTAATGGTTCTTGCTTATTACAGTTAACTTGTGCTCCTGATATGTATTCAGATTTTTTTTGATAAACTCCAAAGAAGTAGATATTTACTTATTCTTTTATTAGACATCCCTTGCCTTATATTCAAATTGGGCCCCGTCTTTTCATTGAAGAAACATTTCAAGGAAAAAGAATGCACTCCATCATTTTTAAAACAATATATAAATTGTTGTATAAAATTTTTGTTCACACATACAATATATGTTTGTGTGTGTGTATTTCAACCCCAGTGAGTGGACACTGGAGTTGAATAAGACTTACTTTGCATTGATTGAAATAGATCTATCCCATATGAGGTAATTTTGGATTTTGTTGTGTAAATTTATATGCTCTGTTATAAAAAAAATATACATTGTTTTTGTGGATCAGTTTTAATATTTGGTATTACTAGGATCCATTCGGATTATATACCAATGGATTTATTACCTGTACTATATATATATTTTACAGCAAAAAACCAAAAGTTACCTCAATATATAGTCTATTTCAGGCCGTTCTGTACACAGCTATCATCAGCCCCTAAATGTCTGTCTCGGGGCATTGTTTTAAATTTATTTTCAATGTTAGTCCTCCTCTGATAGATGGTTTGTGTTAGTGATTGGTGGGGCGTAAGGCATCTTATCCTGAGGGAAGCAGTCTGGGGTTGGAGTTTATGGCCAGGACTTGTTGTTTGTCATTTAATACCAGTTTCTACTATGTGGTGTTTCTTATAAAAACCCCAGAGCGTGTTTTTCTGGGATTCACAGTAAATGGTTTTTGTACTACAGGTGTCCAGTGTTATTAATAAGCGATGGGAGATTTAAACTTAAGCATATTAAGATTAATGTAAATTAATTCAGTTATAGATTTATAGATTGTGGGTAATACCAGAACACCCAATGGAACAATGCTCCGAGACAGACACTTAAGGGCTGATGATAGCCGTGTACAGAACGTCTTGAAATAGATTATCTCTATGTTGAGGTAATTTTGTTTTTTTGCTGTAAAAAAACTACATATGCTCTGTTAAAATAAAAACATTGAGCTCTCTGTGGATCAGTTTTAATAATTAATATTATTAGGATCGACCCAGATTATATACCAATGGATAGATTACTTGTAATATATATATATATATATATATATATATATATATATACACACACACACACAGGGTGTCCATAAAGTTCGTGTGCACTTTAAAAAATTCATAATTTTATTTGTATTTGTGATAGGAATAATTTGTAAAAAGGATTAGAAAGAAGTAAATCTATATTTTTTAAGGTTTTATTGAAATTTTATTTAAGTTTCCACATGTCCTCCATCATTACAAATACAAAGGGTAATACGATTTTACAATACATGGAAAACATTTTCCAACTGATTTACAGTAATGCCTGAAATCACATTAGTTATTTTAGCTATACTTAAAACTAGGTACATTAAACTTTCTAACATTTTTTACAGATTATTTCTATCGCAAATACAAATAAAATCATAAATTTTTTAAAGTGCACACGAACTTTATGGACACCCTATATATATGTATGTATGTATGTATGTATGTATGTAAGTAAGTTATATACAAGCGTTAGCATAATCCCGAGCTTGAAGGAACAATTATTTCTTCTCTTTACTCTGAGGTATGAGTCTCAGCCATTTGAAATAGACTATCTTGATGTTGAGGTAATTTTTATTTTTTTGCTGTAAAAAAATACATGTGTTCTGTTAAAATAAAAACATTGAGTTCTCTGTGGATCAGTTTTAATAATTAATATTATATAATTATATACCAACGGATAGATTACTTGGAGTGTGTGTATACACACAGACACATGCACACAATATACAAAATTATCTATTATTTATTAAATAAAAAACTTCTTGGCACCTACCATTTGTGAGCATTTGCACAATTGACATTCAAGGCAATAGAAGCGTTAGCATAATCCCGAGCTTGAAGGAGCAATTCTTTCTTCTCCTTACTCTGAGGTTTGTGAGTCTCAGCCATTTGAAATGTCGACTTGGACAGACGCCAGGTGAATTCGGAATTGGTTTTATACTGAAGAGTAAAAAAAAGAAAAAAAGATTTTAATTAAAATATGAAAAAGTAAAATAAAATTTTTTGGTAAATATTCATAAATTATAACATTTGTTTCAGAAGTTCTCTATTATGCTTATTTAGCAATAATGTCTTTGGAAAAGGCATGAACCTACTTTACATTGTTCCATTGCTTGACATCTTGATAAAATGCCTGATCAGAGACATGCCACAATGATTCACAGAGAATATAGTGAATGGGAAAATACTCCCCCATAACTACCTAACTTGGCCAAGTAGTAGCAGGAAATGGATGTTATTCCAAGTGTTAACTTTGACAAAGCCAATTACAAGTTCATGATGACTAAGGTCACATTTGGAACCACAATGAGCCAGCCGAGATAATAACTTGAATTTTCAATACAAGTACGACATCAAAATTTCCAACATAATTGGTTCCAGAACTGTGTTAGATTATGAATTTGGTAAAAATGGATGACTTGAAGTGGAAAAAGTATACTGCATCAATTACTAAGTCTGCAGCTAGTAAAGTTAGTTCATCGTGTGATGCTAGACAATTTTTCTCACCAAAATCTATCTTACATATTTATAAGACTACCATTCATCAACACATTGAATATTGCTGCCACATCTGCTATATATTTAGATATTCTTGATAAGATCCAAAGAAGAATCTATCTTACATATTTATAAGTCTACCATTCGTCCATGCTTCGAATATTGCTGCCACAACTGGTCTGGTACTCCTGTTATATATTTAGAGATTCGTGATAAAATCCAAAGAAGAATCTATCTTACATATTTATAAGTCTACCATTCGTCCATGCTTCGAATATTGCCATGGTCTGGTTGATATTTAGAGATTCGTGATAAAATCCAAAGAAGAATCTATTCACATATTTATAAGTCTGGTCCATGACCTATTGGCACAACTGGTCTGGTTATATATTTAGATTCGTGATAAAAAATCCAAAGAAGAATCTATCTTACATATTTATAAGTCTACCATTCGTCCATGCTTCAATATTGCTGCCATAACTTTCAAGATATATTTAGAGATTTGATAAAATCCAAAGAAGAATCTATCTACAATAAGTCCATTCGTCCATTACTGGTCCTGAGATTCGTGACCTATTTATAAGCATCTTTTGCTGCCACAACTGGTCTGGTACTGTTCCCATAAAATTGTAAGAAGAATCTATCTCTACATATTTATAAGTCTACCATTCGTCCATGCTTGAATATTGCTGCCACAACTGGTTTCCAAATGAAGAATCTATTTATTTTATAAGTCTACCATTCGTCCATGCTTTGAATATTGCTGCCACAACTGGTCTGGTGGTCCTGCGATATATTTCAAGATTCTTGATAAAATCCAAATAAAAGTCAGCAATATTACTGGTCCTGACCTGGCATCTTTGCTTCAGTCACTTTCCCATCATTGTAATGTAAGTTCCCTGTGCATTTTCCATGAATACTTTCATTGTAATTGTTCTGATGAACTTTCCTTTATGGTAGCTAGATACGAGATTGGCAGCTAGGTCATAGTTGAAATGGCTAGATGTAATTGTAATTTCTATGCTAACAATTTCTTCTATGACACTTATCATTTATGGAACTCTTTCATCTTCTTGTTTTGCAGTCAACTTTGATCTTCAAAACTTTAAATGCAATGTCAATCATTATCTTCTTCCTCCTTAATTCACATTCTTTTATTATCCTCACTCCTTAATAGGGTTTTTTTTCCCCCTCATTCTCTAATACTCAGTAACCTCTTACATCTTAGTTGCTTTATTTCCTTCCTTGGATAAAGTGATTAAAAAAAGAGGGAGGCTGAGGAAAAAAAGAGGAGAAGAGAGAGAGGGAAGAGAAAAAAAAAAAAAAAGAAAAAAGGTGTTGGTATGGAAAGACCAACAAAATCATTATTTGTCTATATTTCTGAGATTAGGTATTATGTACACTATTTACATTATTTGAACTATTGTCCTCATCTTTGTTGCCATATTTATCAAAACGTTTCAGCCATTGTACACTCCAGCCTTCTTCAGGTGGTTGGAATGTTGAACTGAACCCTTTATTTCGCTCGCTGGGATAGACTGTTCTAGTTCCACATGCCATGTCTAATAGATATCAGTTATCTCCTGTTAATTCACCTCTCCAAGTTCTCCACTGCCTTAACCAGGTATTGAACTCACAACTCTTTGGTTCCTGTCACTGGATCTAACCAATGCCTTAAGGACACATGGCACAGTGGATAAAGAACTTAAAGAGGTGAATTAACAGGAGATAACGGACCATTAAAACATGGCACGTGGAACTAGAACAGTTTACCCCAACAGGTGAAATAAAGGGTTCAGTTCGACATTCTAACCACCTGAAGAAGGCCGGAATGTACAATGGCTGAAACGTTGTGATAAATATGGCAACAAAGATGAGGACAATAGTCTGAGTAATGTAAATTGTCAACAAAATCATATAATAATAATTCAGTAACACAGTTCTTTGAACATACTAAATTTAAATTCTGACAGTTTGTTTTGTTCAATTTACACTGACATCCTTGGAAAAGGCATGAATTAGTTTTTCTTCAGCCATGGCTTAAATAGCAGAGTTGAATGAGCTTGAGTTTCAGACAGTCTAAGAGAAGGGAAACCGAATTCAAACCCTTATAAATAATAGGGGTAAACTAGGCTCCTTAGCCTTGGAAGAGCAACCAATCTAGGAGAAAGACAACAGAATTCAAAACCAGTTTGAAAAGGGATGGGTTCTGCCAAGATATCTTGCCTGATAGACAACCACTGCTGTTACGACTATTATATACAGGTTGGCTTACATTTACCATATCTACATCTATATATCCACACCCGTACATATACAGGGTGTCCATAAAGTTCACGTGCACTTTAAAAAATTTATAACTTTATTTGTATTTGCGATAGAAATAATTTGTAAAAAGGATTAGAAAGAAGTAAATCTATATTTTTTATGGATTTATTGAAATTTTATTTAAGTTTCCACATGTCCTCCATCATTAGCAATACAAAGGGTAATACGATTTTGCAGTTCACGGAAAACATTTGCCAACTGATTTACAGTAATGCCTGAAATTACTTTAGTTATTTTAGCTATACTTAAAACTAGGTTCATTAAACTTTATAACATTTTATACAGATTATTTCTATCGCAAATACAAATAAAGTTAAATTTTTTAAAGTGCACACGAACTTTATGGACACCTTGTATTTTCCTACACATCCCTATATATACATACTAACCTATACATACACATACATTTTTTCATTAAACACATATATATGTATTTATTTCCATTAGCTACATCCTGGTATTTATCAGAAAGCTGATAAAGTTTAAAACAATCCCATGGTGATGTTATGGGTAACATTTAAGGGGAGCAAGACAACATCAAAAAGAATGCATGACTGCATATTGGAATAAATTTAGTATATTTCAGAATTACAAATTATTCTGTAGTAGGATTAGGTAGTAGTAACACCATATGGAAATATACACTTTCCTTTTCACTAAGAGAGTGACAAAGAAAACTCTCTCTCTTCTCTATTACACATAATTCCTTTCCTTCTAGTGTTCCTATCCTCGATAACTGATAGAACCTGGACATAGCTTATGTGGGTCAGTGAACATCATTAAAAAAAAAAAAAAAAAAAAAATCAAATCAACCAATGACAACATGCCCCACCAAAAGTCAAACAGAAAACATGGATGTATCAGGCCCAATAAAAAGAAGAAAAAAGCCATGTGCACAAGCAAGAGAAGAAGTGGGAAAATGGTTTGATGTAACAGTTCGAAACACAAGGGTTGGAGATTCATTGGCTGTGAGTTTGACTGGACGTACAACTCCAGAAGAAAAAAGGAAGGAAGGATGAATTCAACAAATTAATTTCTGTCAGCCAAAAACACAATGATCCTGTATGAACTGTCAAATCACAAAGGACTAAGACTTTAATGACTGTAACCGAATGGGGTCAACAATAAAATGGTACTATAGACAGTAAGTTTGGCCTTTACTGATGTATTAGCCCAACCTTTATCTCTATATACCATAATTCCATGGGCTGTGTGGTAGGCATAATTTCATTAGATACATCCTGGCATTCTTTAGAAAGCTGAAAGTTTGAAATAGTCCAGTGATGGAACTGTGTCATAGTTAAGGAAGAGCAAAAACTTTCAGTCTAGTCTTTCATGCAGGCTCTTTAATATACCATAGATAAGCATTGTTTTTGGGTTTTTTTCATATATAATTTCTTTTGCCGAGAATGTTGTTTTCCCTTTCTTTACTATGTATTATTTAACAAAACAAAATCAATTTGAGCCGAGACAAATTGTTCTACTGAATAATTAGCCTGAAGACAAAATGAGCCACAATCAATCATTTAAAAAGTGTCACAAAATAATTAACACTACGGTTGCTAATAAGTTCAGGTTTTATCTACTTTGGTTGAAGCAGGTTAGTCCCATACATGGCCTTATACCAAATTTAGCACATTCTCCAAGAAATGTCTAAATAAGCAAAGTATCATCATTTATTATTTTTTTAAGTCTCCAGCCTTCATCAGAATTTTTTTTTTTTTTTACAGATCACGACATCTATCAGAGATGAAATTTAAATTTTTATTATTGCATTATTCCAGAATTTTAACACATCAGCAGATAGTTATTGTCAACAACTGAGCACAAATAGTCATTAATTAAAAAAAAAATTAGTAATTAATGTATATTATCTATAACTACATGTACAAGAATGTTGTTTTTGATATAAATTTAAAAAATAACCATAAATAAGTAAAAAACGTGTATATTGTCAAAAATTCCTTTTTCCACAATATAACTATGTGCCATGTTATAATGCTTATTACCTAAACAATAATAATACTGAATAATTTTTTTTAAACCTTAAAGTATATATAATCACATCTCCCTAATAGCTATTGCGATCTGTTAAACATTTCACCCCAAACAAGGCAATAAAGCCACTAAGACAGAAGGGAGTTATGTGAGTATAAGCAAATATGAGAAAAAGAAAACAGAGAACTGTAAAAGAACAGAAATTAGATAGAAGATAATGATTGGAATTGCATTAAAATTTTTGAAGGTCAAAGTTAACTGGAATAATAATAATAATCTACTCTAAAAATTTACTTCCACCAATTCTAACCTTCATATCTAAGACCTGCCATATCATGCATATTGTAGCAAACCATCCATATTCCCTTTATATTCCACAAGTAAGATGCCAACAACACTGGAGCAGCCTCTTCATACAGACTGCAGCTTTATGAAACAGACTCCTAAGAGGATGCTTTCCCAATCATTAAAATCTCCACTTGTTTTGTTCAAGTATTTCACCCCCCCATATCTCCATAAACTGTGCCTCTAACTTGAGTAGTTCTTGGACCTTATACAGGGTGAACATCATTGTCAGAAAAAAAAAAATGCTCCTAAAATATATTAAAAATAGATCAGAAAAAACAACACCAGTTAACCTTGCTAGTTCATCGATAGCTGCAAAAAACCTAAAGAAAGCTCAAAAGGAAGGAAGTTGCCTAAAACATAAAGGTCACCTTTCTTCAATGAATCAATATGATAATCAATCAAGTAGAAATTTCTGACCTTGCATATGATGATCAGGTATGAGCAGGTTAAATAAAAATGAAGTAAAAGGCAGCTTGAACAGAAAGAAGAAAGGGAGAGGAAGTCAAAGGAAAGAAGAAAAGGAGAAGAAGCCAAAGGAAAGAAAGAAGAGATATTTGAGCCTTGGATCTTTTAAAACAGGTTAGCTATGAAGATTGATTTTGTTAATCTGAGCCTTACTTCACTTTTAAGGGTCTCAGACATATTGGATATTAAGATTATTCTAATAGAACAGATATAGAAAGTAAAATAAAATTAAAAGAAAAAAAAAGATTCAACATGATTCAAGAATCAAGACATATGCCAAGAATGATGACTGATTAATTCATTTCTTTTTGAAACAGGATAGAAACAAAGCAATTTAAAAACATTGATTTTTTTAAAAAATATTTTGTATTTAAAAAAAAAAAAAAGATCAAAAAGAAAAAAAAAAAGATAAAGACCCTGAAACTATTTAGATATATATAAAAAATAATTTATCATTGTTTCAGAAGCAAATTTACAATCACAGAATAGGATATGGTTTTTATGTCTTGTCAAGGAGAAGGCTGATTGATATATATATTTTTTAGAGCTTATCAACCCATTGCAGGCTATTTAAAGCCAGAAAATATTTTTAGATAAGAATTTTTTTTTTTGAGATAATAATGGTTTAGTGATACAAGTCTAACTATAACTATTTAACCCATAGCTGAGGGGGGGAAAGAGATGTATTCATTCCTTTCCCAAGGGCATTTGTACTGTTGTCACCTAGGAAGGGTTACTGACTGAGGAATAACCAAAACGGAGGTTAGACATGAAATGGTAATTTTTATAACATCAACAAAATACAATACTCGCCAGCGGAGTGAAGTAGGTAAACCACTGCTAGTGGTGGACTACTTAGACAGCATATTAACCCCCACTTACCATAGTGTCCAACATATTTATGAGGATTGGGACGTAAACATTTGTGTTCATAGGTATGGTATATAACATGTACTTAAGTAAATATAACGAATCCTATGGGAATTGGAACTCAGCTCTTTTATTAACAATTCCAAGCCAATTATCCATTACACCACCTGCACATCCAAGCTTACAGCACCTGGTATTTCAAAAACAGCCACCCATTTAGGTACTGACCAGACTCAACATTGCTTAACTTCAGGAACCAGTATTTCAACGTGACATGGTAGTAAGCCTAATCAAGGAAACACTCCATATTAAAGGTCAAAATAAAACAACACATACTAGGTAACTGAGGCAAAAAATTATAAACAACACTAATTTATATTAAACATTCTAAATATTGTAAGTTGGCTCCCTGTGCTGCGCCAGGAAATTTTTCTCCCCAGAATCGATCCTTCAGATCTACAAATCAACAATTAGCCCTTGCATAGAGTATTGCTGCCATATATGGTCTGAAGCCCCTTCTGTTTGTCTCGGGGTTCTTGATAAGATCTAGAGGCGGATATGCAATATAATTGGGCCTGATCTGGCATCTCATCTACAGTCGCTCTCTCACAGACGTGGCGTTACCTCTTTTTTACAAATACTTTCATGGTAATTGCTTCGAGGAGCTGCATTCGCTGGTTCCCAGACTCCATAAATTCAAGCACCCTAAGAGGCTGGCACCCCGCTCACCCTTTTACTGTTCAAACTATTAAATGTAGCCATCTCTTCTACTCCAATAGCTTCATATCTCACACCTCTCACCTGTGGAACTCCCTTCCCTATTCCTGTTTCCCTGAGAGCTATAATCTCAACTATTCAAATGTAATGTCAATCGACATCTCCAGTTGCCTTGATCTATCCACTATCCTTCTCCTCATCCTTTCCTCTATCACTCCTAACTGATCTTGCTCCAAATCTTCTGTAACCCCTTGCGTCCTAGTGGCTTCCCACCTTGCTTGGAGTGAAATGCTTAAAATAAAAATAAAAAAATTTACTGTTATTTTGTAAAGCATTGTCAGTTACTAATTGTCAACTTTAAAAAAAGTACAGAATTTACCTTGCAAAGTTACAAGACAAAAAGAAAATGCAAAGACTGAATTTCGAGAAATTAATTGACAAAGGGATGAGCTGGAGATCAACCTGGAATTAACAAAGAATTGATCAGTATAAAATGACTGAATGGATAAATCATCCACACACTTTGTAATAAAGTTTCAGGCATGAGAAGTGATGGTAAGTCGTTTTAGTACAAGGGTGGGCAAACTATGGCCCACAGGCTGCATGCAGCCCGCCAAATGTTAGTAAATCTGAAAGAGAAAGTTACCAAGCAACGCCAAATAATATTGTGAGCATTTTGTTTTCTTTCCACAGGTGTGTACGTATGCATGGGAGAGTGCTGATCAAAAGCTTTCAGACACCAAAGGTCTTCACTAAGACCGAGCGACTCCTAATTCAAGCTCATAACAATGGCTAATCTGGCAACTTTGTTACTGCACCAATGATTTTATTGCCTTTCATTTGAATCATTTCAATGTCCTGGCAGATGCAAAAGAGTTAAAACATGGGACATTTTTATTTCAGCTCAGCTTTTATTATCTTACAAACTTTAATGACTTATTTGAAGCCATCTAAAAAGCGAAAAACTGAAGATAAATGCTAAGCGTTTAACAAAGAGGAGATTGAAAGGTACTTTTTTTTACTGACATTGGAGTTAAAGCTGTATGTTTGATTGGTCACGAAACAGCTGTGTTCAAGGAATACAATTTGAAACTGCACTTTCAAACCAAGAATGTCAACTTTGGACACAGTTTATCAAAGCAAAAGAAGGCAACTAAACTGGTAAATGGTTTGAAGCAACCGTAAACTGTGTTCGAGAAAACTTTATCTTTATAAAGAAGTGCGGCAAAGGTAAGTTTTGTATTGGCAAATAAAATTGCAAAGCAAACAAGTCATTTGTAGAAACAGAATTTATTAAAGATTGCATGGTTGATGCAGTCAACATTGTGTGTTGTCAGTGTCAAGAAACAGCACAAGCAACTTGACGCTTAATTTTAACAAACTGGTAAATAACTGCAGTTTTTGGTTAATATACTATGCAGCCTGATAAAATTGAGAATTTTTAATGTGGCCCTTGCACTGAAAAAAAAAGTTTGCCAACCCCTGTTCTAGTACAACTTTTGTTTCAGCCCTGCTAAAAAATGATTCATATGATACATGCTGAAACGCCTATACTACTTACACTGATCCAATCATAAAAAAATAAGGAAAACTATTGGGGGGGGAAATAATTTTTGTACATTAGCATTCTTTAGACCTTCCCTTTACTGCAACACTTGAAAAATATTGATTTTTTTTTTTTTGCTCATTTTTGGTCGTGTTCATAATATCAATGGAGTGTACAATAGTAAAAATATTGATTTTATTACCATTTTAGTGGCGGGTGCTGTTCATAATTTCTATATAGTGCAAAAACCATAAAATAGGGAAAAATATTGAATTTTTTTTTTTTTTTATCATTTCAGGGCGGTGGAGGGGGCTGTTCATAACATCAGTATAGTGTAAAATCATAAAAATATGGAAAAAAATTTTGTTAGAAATAATTTTTGTAGATTACCATTTAGAAACTTCCTTAGGCCTCAACAATTGACAAAATCGAAAAATATTGACTTTTTATCATTTTTTTGGTGGTGGGGTCTTGCTTATAACATCAATATAGTGTAAAATTGATCTCTGACGTTTATACAGTTATTGGACTGAGGCTAAGTCATTTTGCTGCTATTTACAAATGCCAAGTTTGAAACTGTGCTGCCATCATTATATATTATAATTATTTTCTTTTTTAAAAATATGATTCCATCGCGACACAAAAATTTCTAGGTTTCAAAACTGAGACTAAATTTATAAATTTAATTATAAAAATTAAAGTTAAAATCCAGAGCTTCATTGCATTGTCAAGCGTTGCTAGGAATAACTTGCTAAGAAATTTACTTAAATTATTGAGATTGTCTGCACTTATAAATCAAGTAAATTTCTCCAAAAGTTATTGCTAATATTTATATTATCCTCTACTGTTTGTATCGAGCACTGTTTTTTAAAAATAATTGCTAAGAACACCGGACTGTAAATCTTACTGTTCTTTCTTTTTAATATTTTTTTTTAAACGTTTTTTATGGCATTTTTGCAGAAACACATGAACAGACATTTGACATTCATAATTATTTATCTTAAATGAAGAATAAATGGATACATAATTTTATTAATACCATATATACTCTTGTAATGTGCAATCTTGGATATCAGGTGACCCCGAAATTTTTAATTATAAAAAATGATTTTATCATGGATCTCATGTAACATGCAAGTTCCTTCTTTGAGAGACCAAATTACCATAGTTCCTTTTTTCTCTATCCTTTTATCCCATCTTCTAATTAAATAAGTTAAAAAAGTAAAAGGGAATGATAAAAGTATCATTAGTAATGCTATACTAGTTGCGTAAATGTGTAAAGCCATAAACAACCGAATGAGAAACAGCTAAACATCTGATAAATATAAACAATAGAAAAGATACATATTTCCTATGTTTGTATTTTATAATAATATGATACTAATATGTGAATATTACATGCATTATTATTGGATACAGTTAAGTAAAACATCAGCTTTATCAAAATAATGTTTATTTTAAATACAGCTGTACTTTTTGACTACAGTAAATGGATATGTCGTTTGGTCAATGGCATAGCCAGGGTTAGCAGTACATAGACAAGATATAAAATTAGTGCATGATGTAACCCTTTAAAATTAGGTCTTCAAAGGTTGCATAATACACAAGTATATAAGGTATATATAAACTTTTTTTCTTTAACTAAAAACTTGCATATCTGTTTGTTGTTCATTTAAAAGAAATCTTTTTTGTAAACCCATCCTCAACCCCCCAAACAAAAAAAACAACTTTCTTTTGTATGCAAAACAGCTAAGACAGGGAATGATCAGACTTTATACCAATATTATAAGCAGGACACCTCTTTCTAAAAGATCAATATTTTTCAATTCAATAAGAAATCAATATTTTTCTGTTATGAACAAGTATTGTGGTCAAAGGGAGGTTGAAAGAATGTTAATCTACAAAAATTATTTCCTGAATATTTTTCCCTTTTTAAAAAAAAAAAAAAGGTTCGGACAGACCAGTCTATTTAAATACTGCCCAGTTGTTATATTCTAAGCCCTGCCAACTGGACAGTGGCAAAACAGGGTGTTGACAGAATATCTATTCTTTTTAAGAAATCATTTTGTAGGTCAGGTTTCATTGATGTATCTTCGAAAAGAGGGTCTTTGTCAAGAGTCAAATGTATTGTTGGTAATTATTTTTTTTTTTAAATGTATTGCTGGTATTTTTACTATAAAATCTATTTTTATACTTTCATAGTGTTTTGATTTCAGTTTGGGGGGGGTCACTATTTGCCCATAGCTGGGACCCTAACAGGTGCTACCACGTCAGGTGAGAGTAGATCTGGAACAACATCAATTAAGACCTGGCTCCTGAAAAACTTCCCAATCAGAGGCCTTTCTGCTAGCTGTAGTTTATCCTCATACCCAGAATGCCTCATTGGAGGGTTTTACCCTTCTGCATAGGTGCAGTGTATTCTGAAGCCCCAGTCGATGGGGCAAAGAGTTTTCGAGTAGAAAGTAATTGCTAGAGGAAGTAATTCTGCTTTTGAGGGAAAATAAAGACGGAAAGAAAGAAAAAAAGACGGAAAGAAAGAAAAAAAGACGGAAAGAAAGAAAAAAAGACGGAAAGAAAGAAAAAAAGACGGAAAGAAAGAAAAAAAGACGGAAAGAAAGAAAAAAAGACGGAAAGAAAGAAAAAAAGACGGAAAGAAAGAAAAAAAGACGGAAAGAAAGAAAAAAGAAAAAAGAAAGAAAAAAAAAAAGGAAAAAAGAAAAGAAAAAAAAAAAACGGAAAGAAAAGAAAAAAAAAAAAAAAAAGAAAGAAAGAAAAAAAAAAAGACAGAAAGAAAAGAAAGAAAAAAGACGGAAAAAAGAAAAAAAAAAAAGAAAAAAAAAAAAAGACGGAAAGAAAGAAAAAAAACGGAAAGAAAGAAAACCAAATGTTTCACCACTGAACGAGGTCAATATGTGCTAATGTAAATATGCTTCCACTACCAATAGTGGTTCAAGTTTTACTGATTTGAATGGATTGCATAATAAATATGCAAATCTATTTCCATGCTCCACAAATTGAAAAAAAAAAAAAACCCTGATAAGGCTCCAAGTGAACTGCTAGCAAAGTAATTGACTTTTCCTACAAGGAGATTTTTGCAAGGAAGCTGCACATGTACACTACATTATTCAGACTAATGTCCTCATCTTTGTCGCCATATTTATTACAACGATTCGGCCGTTGTACACTCCGGCCTTCTTCAGGTGGCTGAAATATCGAACTGAACCCCTTTATTTTACACACTGGAGTAGACTGTTCTAGTTCCATGTGCCAGTTTTAATGGATGTCAGTTATCAGTTATCTCCTGTTAATAACTCCCTCCAAGTTCTCCACTGCCTTAACCAGGTACTGAACTTACACTCTTTGGGTCCTGTCACTGGATCTAATCAATGCCTTTATCCACTGTGCCTTGTGTCCTTGAGGAACTAGAACAGTCTACTGTTGTAATAAATATGACAACAAAGATGAGGACAGTTTAAATAGTGTACATAATACCTCATCTCAGAAATATAGACAGAAGCTGCACATGTATATGGTTATTTGAACTTTGTGAACTTTCATTATATAGCTACACAAACACACACTTAAAATATGTCATATTTATCAGGAAAGCATATGCAATATCGAAGACAGAGGATTTATAGATACAGACAGTAAATACTGCATAGTGACTGTCAGTTTCACTCCTCAATACAATCTTCGGACTGTGTGTTACTACTTGATTAGCAAGCTCTTTTATATATATATTTATATATATATATATATATATATATATATATATATATATATATATAAAATATGATTCTTTTTCTACATAAGAGTTCTCATGTTTTAAAAACAAGAGCCAAAAACTTCAATATAATTATTAAAATTAAATTGAATTAAAGTATTAAGCTCTCTTTCACCTTAAAAATTTCGCTAGAAGATGAAAGAGCTTGATACTTTAATTCAATTTAATTTTAATAATTATATTAAAGTTTTCGGCTCTTGTTTTTGAAACATGAGAACTCTTATGTAGTGAAGGAATCGTATTTTTAAAAAATAATTATAATTTAGGCTCTACTTTTGTATTGAGCACCGTTTTTAAAAAATAAAAACAAAAATACTAAAGAACTTCAAATTATTTACTTAATGTGTTCTTCCCTATTTTTCTATATATTTGCACACACAGACAAACACACATATATATTATATATATATTGGCCATTGAAAAGGGCTAGTTTCCCCCTGTACCCACTGCCTTTATAAGCTTACCTGTGGGCCAGCCAAAAAAAAAAAAAATTTAAAAAGAAAAAAAGTACTGACACATGGTCTGAAAATGGTGTAAGACCACTATGCAAGATCAATTCCTATGTCCACATAGTTTCTCTTGCATACATACATTTATATACCTTTTAGTCTTTCAGCCAGGTCACCAGAATTTTTAATATGTGAAAGGTCAATTATTTCACGTGGTATTAAAAATTTTTGCTATGATTTTTTTTTTTTTTAGTCCATAGGGTGGACTTCCAAGTCCAGCTGTGATGGGTCACACTGAAGTACCTGTTTTGTATGCTTTTGACAAAATCTGAGTATTCTAGGATGATATTCAATCAATTATGACAAGGTCTTCTGATCATTATTAACTAACATTCTAATCGATTTGTTCAATTCTTGTGTCTCAGAAGTTACTTTATGTTCATTGATTTACACAAACGTTTGTATCCTGGACTGATTGCCTTCCCCCCCCCTTTTTTTTTATCTTTTTTACTTAGGTATTCTTATTTGTAATACTCCCACAGTCTGAGGCAGTGATGGAAATGGGCTTATTTATAGATGAATTTTTTGGTGTTTTTATGCATCTTTGTGGTAGTGTTATTTTGTTGCATGTTCCTAACAACCTCTTACTACCAACAGATAAGATAATAGGATATATATATATATATATATATATATATATATATATATATATGAGAGAGTTACATTTAATGGTGTTATTTTACTGCATGTTGCTGTAATTGTTACTGGTTTTGTTGAATATATATATATATTTTTTTTTTTTTTAATTGTGCTTAGTTCTTATTTGCAGTTGGTTGTATTTTTTGATAATTTGCTGATTTTAGGGAAGTGTTTGTCTATTATTTTGAAGAATATTTTCCCTATTTTTTAGTTTTTATTGTATTGTTGTTGTGGGGATGCTGAACCAAATTACATTTCTTTTGCTACTGTTTTTGTTTGAATTGTTTTCATTTTTGTTTGTTGTAATATCCGCTGTTTCTTAGAACTGATTCATGTTTTTATATTTTCATTAAATATTTATAGTTTTTAGGCTGCTAGAATTTGTTGAAATTCCTTTATTTATAGATATAGGCATTTGTTTAACTACGTTTGGGGGGTGGGCTAGAATATTTGTTAATGTATATTGGGTTGTTTGTTTTTTTACACTTAATAACAATAATATGCAGCAAACTAATACCATTAAATGTAACTGTAGAAACAAAGAAAACTGCCCACTTAACAATAAATGTTTAACCAATCACATAATATACAAAGCTATCATAACTAATATTAACACAAATGAAAAAAATTACATATGTGCCACAGAAAAAAAACTTTTAAAGAAAAATATTATAACCATAAAATATCCTTTGAAAGAAAAAAAAATAAACAATACAACCCTATCAAAATACATATGGAGCCAAAATAAATAAAAAATAAAAAAAACAATATCCTCACCAAAATCAAATGGGAAATTATAAAAAGAGCACCCCCATACACTATTAACAGTAAAAATTCTAAATTATGTTTACAGGAAAAAATAGCAAGAAATAGTTTTAAAAACCAAAATAAACTCTTAAACAAGAAAACTGAAATAATGGTTAAATATAGGTGTATAAACAAAAACTTTGCCCTCTAAGCATTAATTAAAATAAACAAATAACTACAAATAAAATAAAATATAATATAAACTTTAAATAAATAAAATATAAACTTAATTTATTAATAAACAAATAAACAAACAAATATTAAAGTACACACCTAAACGCATGTGTGAACATGTAAACAAACACCAAAATATAAACAAACCTACCCCACTCCCATAATTAATTCCTCAATATATAGCACCAAGGCAAAAACAAATAAACTACTAACCATCAGATAAAAATAAAAATAAAACAGTAAATAAACAATTACATATATGTGCATGTGTACAGAACGCCTGTGGTGCATGTGTGAGTATATAATATATATGTGTGGTATGTGTGTTTTTATATATATATATATATATATATATATATATATATAAAAAACAACAAATTCTATTAACCTAACCAACCATAATTAATACACTAAAAATAGAAAAAAATAAGTAACTTCACCATTTAAGCACTAGTTTATTAACAACAAAGTACAGATATATGTGTACATGTACCCATGCACACACATACATATGCCTATATATGTGGGTACATTTATGTGCACAAACATAGACATAAAAAGCAGACTTTTTTTTTTTTTTTAAGCGTTTCACCCTAAACAAGGCGGAAAGCCACTAGGACGCAAGGGGTTACAGAAGATTTGGAGCAAGAGCAGATAGGAGTGATAGAGGAAAGGATGAGGAGGAGGATAGTGGATAGATCAAGGCAACTGGAGATATCGATTGACATTACACTTGAATAGCTGGAGATTATAGCTATCAGGGAAACTGGAATAGGGAAGGGAGTTCCACAGGCGAGAGGTGCGAGATATGAAGCTATTGGAGTAGAAGAGATGGCTACATTTAATAGTTTCGACATTGAAAGGGTGAGAGCGGGATGCCAGCCTCGTAGCGCACTTGAATTCATGAAGTCTGGGAACCAGGGAATACAGCTCTTCGGAGCAATTACCATGAAAGTATTTGTAAAAAAAAAAAAAAACAGAGAGAGGTGACAGCGCGTCTGTGGGAGAGCGACTGTAGATGAGATACCAGAACTGGGACAATTATATTGCATATCCACCTCTGGATTTTATCAAGAACCCCGAGGCAAGCAGAAGGGGCTCCAGACCATATATGGTAGCAATATTCCATGCAAGGGTGAATTGTGGATTTGTAGATCTGAAGGATCGATTCCGGGAAGAAAAATTTCCTGGCGCGGCACAGGGAGCCAACTTTCCTTACAGTGGATGAAGCAATTGACTCAATGTATTTGTTCCATCTCAGGTCAGCAGTCAACGTGAGACCGAGCAGCCGCAGAGAGGTGCTCTCAAGAAGTTGAGCGTCAGACATTCTAATGGCGGGCAGGGAAGGATCTCTGTGGTGATTAATAGAGAGCAGTTTTGTTTTTGAGGCATTAAAGTTGACCAGCCAATTCCTGCCCCAGTTCATAACCGGTTGGAGGTCCTTTTTGAGACGCAAGGCCAGATTAGTTTTGTCAGCAACACTAGATTTGTTTTTGAGGCAGGAGTAAATTGTGGTGTCATCTGCATAGGTGCTAACTTGGGAATTTATGGTGTCAGGAAGGTCATTTATGCAGATAAGGAATAGAGTGTGGCCTAGGATGGAGCCTTGAGGAACACCTGCGTTTGTGAGATAGGAACTGGAGGAGAATCCATTGAGAACAACCTTCAATTCACGGTTTGACAGGAATGATTGTATTAAGTCAAACAATCGACCAGTAATACCATAACACTGGAGCTTGCGAAGAAGGTCGGCATGCCAAACCCTATCTAGGGCCACGGCACGAGCTTCCCCATTATTTTGAAGAGCTTGGTAGACAATCAGCTGTAGATCGGGCAAAGCGGAAGCCATATTGCTTGTCTGAGAGTAGATCATGGAATGTAAGGTGGTTAACCACTTCGGCATTGATTAGGGCTTCAAAGACTTTGCCGAAGAGAGGTAGGAGATTGATAGGATGGTAATTAGAAGGGTCAGAGGGGTCACCAGAGTTCTTGAAGACAGGAACAATCAAAGAGGACTTTCAGCAGTCAGGAAAACACGATTCCTTGAGGCAGTAGTTATATAGTTTAGAGAGGGCGGGTGCCAGTTCAGTCGCGCATTTCTTCAAGACAATGTCTGGTATCCCATCTCCACCACTAGCCTTGTTGGGGTCTAAATTGGAGATAATGCCCAATACCAAAGACGGGGTTATGTGTGACCCACTCAATAGGGCCTCAGTTCTAAGAGGGAAGTCGGGTATGGGTACACCGGAAGAGTCGAGCATTGAGTTGAATGAAAATTTCCGAGCAAAGCATACAGCCTTGTCGGTGGAGGAGGTCAGGACTTTGAACTGGTTGAACAAAGGAGGTATAGAGAGTTTGCAATTGTTCAGTACGTTCTTGCAGAGACGCCAATAATCTTTGGAGACAAATTTGCGAGATGCAATAAACTCTTTCATCCGAGCAGCAAATAGTGACTTAGCATCGTTGAGGACACGCTTACACTTGTTACAGGTGGAGGCAAAGAGACGTCTATTGCTGTCTGACACATTGCCATGAAATAGGTGAAAGAAGTGGTTCCTATGGGCAATAGCGGCTGAGCAAGCAGCGGAGAACCAAGGGGAGGAGCGCGACTTGACCCTATATTTCCTTGATGGGATGAAAGAGTCGATTCCAACTTTAACCCAAAAGACAACATCCCAGGGGACATCGTGGAGGAAATCACGGAACGAGTCCCAGTCAGCTCATTGATAGAACAAAGTTCTAGTGGTAGGAGGTTCTTTGCAGGGGGGTGGAGTTGAAGGAGATGTTAACAGATACTAGTTGCGTTGCGCTGCAAGACTCTGGGATGGAGGTAAAACACAGATCGAGAAGAGAGGCTTTACCTTCCCGGTTGAAGGCAAAATGAGTGGGGAAGTTAACTATCTGTGTGAGAGATTGAGAAACTGAAAAGTTAAGTGTTTAAATGCTTGTGTGGTCAGTAGTAGCATTCTTAAGCCACTTGTGCACACAAATTCTAACAATAATAAATAAATTTAATTATAAGCCTAACCTGCTACAATTAATACTTATGATGCCACCAAACCAAATTAGAAAAAAAGTAATGGCTCAGTGAAGATGGGTGTATGTGTGCATTATATATATATATATATATATATTTACCATTTAAGCATTATAGTATATAGTATTAGTATCATTATGTATATATATATATATATAAAAAATCATTTAAGTATTAATATCAATTATTTGTGTAAAAAAGTAATGGTTCAGTGAAGATGTGTGAATGTGTGCATTATATATTTACCATTTAAGCATCATTTTATATATATATATATATATATATATATATATATATATATATATATATATATATATATATATATAAATATATATATATAAATATATATATAAAATCATTTAAGAAATTATTTGTGTAAAAAAAAAAAATGAAATACAACCTCGCTAGCAAAAAAAAAAAAAAAAGGAGGAAGAAAATAAAATGAAACAAGTATGCCCCAAAATAAAAATTGATATGTCTTCTGTTTGAACAATCATGACCGATATGACAACAATCAAAGGCAAAAGTTGAGAAAGGAAGAAAAGGGAGAAGGCTGAGGAGCGAGTCTAAGACAAAAGAGAAAAAAAAAAAAAAGTAAAAAGAAAAAAAACAGCTAAGTAACAAACTTTTACTTAGATTAATCATATATATGAGTTAGGTAAATGAAATGATTAGATATTGTGCCCAATGAGTTGGCTACCCAATGAAACTTAAGTTGCACACTAAATGTAGGTATGTGTGTGTGTATATATATAAAATAGTGTATTTAGGCAGCAATCCTTTCATGCAAATTTCATTAAATATGACAGACAAGAGATGAATTATTATTTTTAATTATATATATATATATATATATATATATATATATATATATATATATAAAATAATAGTTAAAAAATAATTATTCCCCTCTTAGAACAAAATTAAATAGAACAAATGTTATTTACGAATTTATTGTCCATTAAGGAACTGTATTCCTGAACAATCAAAATTCATAAACAATTCTATAGGCCACACTACATGTTTGACAAGACTCAGACTTCATCTTTCTGATCATAGCTCAATTAGCTCTCATTTAAATACTCATGGAGACATACTTGTTGATAACACAAATACAATAGCATCGTTTACATGTAAAAAAAAAAAAAAAAAAGCTAAAAATAATGGAGGCCTTATTAATAAAAACAAAAAACCAACACTCAATAATAACTATGAACACGGACACAATACCTTGACCATGTTTTGAAGGTTAAACGTTATATAAATACATACATACAACAATCTATTTCTAGTAAACTGTTAATATATTTCAACCTTGAAATTGGTTAAATGTATAGCTGAAAGTGCTCGGAAAAAAAAAATGAACATTTGGACAGATTTTATATAATTTATCTACTAAAAAGAAAAAAATTATAAGATCACATGAAAAATTATATATATTTTTTTTCATGTGTGTGTGTGTGTGTGTGTGTGTGTGTGTGTGTGTGTATGTATGTAATTGCAAAGCAACTGCATATCTGTTATTATGAATCTCTCCAATCAACATTACACCTCATAAACATACATTCATACCCAAGAGAAATTTATTTGACTGATTAATTTACTGAACAGCATATCAACTCCTTTATGGGTCATTTAATATCAAAATTTAATTTTATCAGGGACTTTGAAGTAATAAAAATAATATATATAATTCTGCTTTCACATTTGAATACATGGTAGATAATACTCAGCTTTTGTGCATATACATGTTTGTGTGGACATAATTACAAGATATAGGCAATATGTATATTTTATGTTGTAGTTTGGTTGAAGTTATATTCTGGAAGACAGTTTGATTTAAGAAATTGCCACATGTAAAGGATTAATATAATGAAAGAGTTCTTTCAAGTTGGTAATTCTGCTATAAACAGATATTGTTGGTCATTTTTATATATAACAGTGTATTGCTGGTGTTTTAATACTTTCATAGTATTTTGTTTGTGGAGTTCACTAGTTGACCATAGCTGAGACCCTAACAGGTTGCTACCCACCAAAGTTAGAGTGAATCTGGGAACAACAGGAATTAAGGGGTGGTTCCACGCTTGTCAAAACTTCCAATCTCTTAATCAGAGACCTTGCTACCAGATATAGTTTATCGTCATACCCAGGACGATATTCAACAGTTCCCCCACGAGGAATATATGTGGCACAAGGCCGAGTTTAACGTGGGGTTCTCCGAGCCCGTAGGCTCGACCAAAAATAATCCCTTAGAACCTGTATAAGCAGGTTCGGGATCTGTCTACCTCCCCGGATGAAACTTTGCCCTTTCTGCAAAGCTTCGTCCGGGTTCCTCTCTGCCAAAGCAGAGAGCTCGACAGAAGTTGCACACAGTCAGAGACTGCATGTCAACTGCCTCAACACAATCGTCAAGCCAGGACAAGAGAGAAATTGAATTACACTGTTTAAGTAACTGGGATGTCCGCACAAACAAGTGTTATTGACTAACTCAGACAAGGCTATGCCAAAGGGCAGATTTTTGTTTGGGAAGATAGACAAACCCAACCCTGTTATTACAAGGTCTATGGGGAATGTTTGCCTGGGCTTACAGATTCAGAAAAAAACACATAAAACTGGCCTTGTGCCACATCTTGCTCTGTGGGGAGTTCAAGTAAATACCAAATGTTATTGACTAAACATCATGCTTATAATAATAAGAAATAGTTGGATTGTAAATAAAATCCCATAATTTATGAGAAATAACTTCCAGATATTAAAAAGTCAAGAAATAGGCTTTGAAAGGTCCCAATGAAAGATATTTCTTAGAAAGGGTAATTGAACTCTGCTTTCCTGTGAAGTCTTTCATGGCTGAATAGGCTAAAGCATACCTGACCTGAACCTAGTTTCTCTAATATGAGGGGAGATGCAGGTTTAAACCCTGCTTAAACCATGTTTTCTTTATTTAGGCTCTTGAACGCCCAGAGGGATGTCTACTCAAACACAGGTCTCCACTAAATATAATGTTTAGAGTGAAGCAAATGAATGACAAAAGGACAAAAAATTCTGTGTAATGCATTTTGTTCTCTCGGACTTTATCAAACTAATTTTTTTGCTGATGAAACTATATATGTTGAAGGGGGAGATATAAAAACACAAGCCAAGTTACAATCATGTACTGAGCTGAGAGGGAACGCTGGAAATGGAGGAATGTGGAAATTTTTGAATATTTTTTTTTTTTTTTTTTTTTTTTAGATATATCTGAACATGCAGTCTAGCAGATCTCATTCCTTTTCCCTATGTTTTGGACAAACTTCATTCGCGTCCTGAGTTAAGACAATAAACTACATCCAACAACAAGGTCTTTGATCAGGTTTTGAAGAGCATGGAACCACCTCTTTATTGATGGTATTCCCAGGTCCACCCTGACCCAGGGTGGTAGCACCTGTCAGAGTTCCAGCTATGGGAAAATAGTTACCCCGCCCCCCCAAAAAAGGGGTCAAAACACTATGAAAGTATAAAAATAGGTTTTAATACCAGCAATACATTTTGGGAAAAATTGTTACCAGGAGTACTTTTTTGAAAAAAGAAAAATATTAGCAACAATACATTTTTGAAAAAAAAAAAAAAAATTACTAGCAATGCATTTTTGGAAAAAAATATTACCAGCAATATATTTAAAAAAAAAAAAAAATAAATAAATAATAGCAGCAATAAAAATCTTGTCGGCATTAAATAATCCATTGAGGTTGATATGCCGTAAAACAAAATAAACCAAACCAATCTAAACCAAAGAATACATATTCTATTCATACGAATCTATCCTAAAAATGTTGTCAGCATTAAATAATCCATTGAGGTTGATATGCCATAAAACAAAATAAACCAAACCAATCTAAACCAAAGAATACATATTCTATTCATACGAATCTATCCTAAAAATCTTGTCGGCATTAAATAATCCATTGAGGTTGATATGCCGTAAAACAAAATAAACCAAACCTATGCTTCAGTTTATCACTTATTAAGTATCACACATTGTGATGATAACAGATGTGTCAAGGAAGATGAAACCTAAGAACCTGGATGCAAAATTACCACAGATGATCTAGCAATCGGAGCACTTCCTATACACTTTCACATTAGTAAATTGCTTTCTCTTAATTAAAATAGCATGTTTTTTAAATTGAAAATAGTCAGATACCTTATGGTAAGCAACTAATACATTGAATGTGTTATTTCGTAAAAGATCACTTTTGTGTTCACATAATCTTTTATTTAAATTCCTTGCGGTTGCTCCTATGTATTCCTTGTGGCAATCATTACTAGTTATAGAAAAAATTCCTCCTTAAAGTTTTAATTATTTTCTCTTGCATTTTAAATAGTTGTAACAAATTTTATATTAAGCTTAGCTAAATTCTTTTCAATTATAATTGTGATAGAGTTGGCACGTAGAGTAATGTATCTCAATTCGTTAGATTTGCTTGCTTGGTTCATTTTTTTTTTATTCTGAAATATTTGATGAGCCTTCTGTTTTGTATTTAATATGAAATAAGTAGGGTATGGGAGGAGCTTGAAAGTATTTTCAATGTATTTCTCATCACGAAATTCTGAGTACTCTTAAACAAAATCTGATAATTCTAGATTTTATTTTGTTGTGTGGTGAGAATAAAAATTTACAAGACCATTTATATTAGATGATTTTTGATAGTCTACAATAATAAGCAATATATGGATATAAAAAGAGGGATATATAAATTTTGAAACTTACCTTCTCCTGACTTTCATGGAGAAGGGTATAAGCCTTCTTCCGATCTTCTTTAGAGCCCTCCATGAGCAAGTCGACTTTCACGAAGAAAGCATCATCTCCTTTGCCCCCAATGACATCAGAAAAGCCATCGACGTGCTCACGGTTTGCCGATGGCGACTCCCCAACTTTTGGGCTCTTGAGATCTAAGCTATTACTGTAAAAGAAAAAAATATATACGTTATAATAATAATAAAAAGTTACCATAATATTTTTAATTTAAACCCCTGCAAGATTCCACAAAGGACTTTTCTAGGTTTCAAGCAATTGGCAATTTGTTATGGAAAAAGAAGAGCTGAAATGTGTAAATAAAATTTAAGGTCAAACTTGAAATTAGAATGCAAACTTAGTCATGACATATAACAAAGTCAGTATTATAATAAATATACTAAGCACCAAATAGTATACTTGAACATACACAAACACACAGGGGTGCCAGGTATTTGAGAACACATCTTTAACAGGTCACACAGCATGCATCAAATTTTAACATTCGTGTCTCTTTCAGACATGAAGTACATTAACACAGCAGTTCCAATCTGATACATGAAAAGGTACGTCATGCTTGCAGCAAAAGCCACCAAGCATAGTGATTAAGAGATAGCTTGAAAGAAAGAAGCCAGGTGCTTCACATACAAAATATTAAGATAATGATCCCTGAGAATCAGTCAAGAGAAAAGAAACATTCAATGGCGTCAGACATCATAAAACCAAACAAGTACAACATCCTCAACAACAGCAAGGGCCCTTACCACAGAACATAATTGCAAAAAGTTATTGTCCAATGCTTCTAAACAGAACAAGAGGGACAAATTACTAATATTTATATTTACATTCATTTGAGTATCAAACAGACAGAGTGGGTTATTTGTTTTTATTTATTTTCTTTTGGTGAGAAAAACCCATCTGGGACATCCTTATTCCAACTACCTGAATATTTATCTGTCATGTTCTCAACCACACCTATGTCAGACAATGAGATCTTCTATTGCTTATAATAACATGGACTGATTCCAGGTTAATTTTCCTTTACTATCATTTAATGCCAAGACCATTTGGGGTTTGTGGAAGAGGATTTATGTAAAATTTATTTTTAAGTTTCAGTACCCTCCCACTTGGTATATTGGTTAATTTTAGAACAGATGGTCTGTAGAGGAGTTGTTAAATATTTTGTGATGAATGTGTCAGTACAGACGAAAAAGAGGCTCAGAGTCACATGTGGACATGTCTGTCAAAACTTGTTAGATACAAGTTCCCCCATTAACAGCAGAACATATTGGCATGTTTAGATACAGGCCTCTCTGCAACTTGCTCAGATACGGTTACTTGTTAGTTGTCTCATGCTAGTAAAAGCAATGGGGAAAACCAGCAGTTGGCAAGACTTGGAATCTTGTGAATTCATTCCTTTTGGCATTTTGTTCCTAAAGTTGCATGCTGCCTGCCATGCTGGGATTGTCTGAGGCAGTCCTATTTTGTTTCCTCTCGTATCTTTCCCTTCTCTGCCCATTACCCTCCATAGTTCTTGGGAGAGTTATCAGTTAGATGTTTCCTCGAAATTCAACACAGCCTTGCTGTATTTTACAATAGATTTTTTGTTTTTTTATTTTTTTTAAATTGTGCTTAGATATTCTTGTATAATTTCAGTTTAAACAAAGAAAATTGTGCTGAATTGCTGTATTATATCTGTCCTCCAATACAACAGTGAAATTTAGGGGAGGAAAGAAAGTTGAACTATTTCATAATATCAAATGTTAATATTGCATGATATAAACATTCTTAAAAAAAAATAAAAAAACAATAATCTGACACTGCCCAAAATACTGCTTAAAAAAAGAGAGAAAAGAAAAAATTCTTCATAGGTCTTATGTAAAGATGGAGTATACTCTTAAAAAATACTAAAAATGTTAATATACCCCACAAAAATATGGTGGGAGTGGGGGCTTATAAGGTATAGGGTGTATATTGAAATCATTCAATGCTAATAACTGATCAAAATCCTGCAATCTGACAACAGTCAGAGTCACAAGGAATAATAGATCTTGATTTTGTTGAAAGATAAAGAAAAAAAAAAAAAAAAAAAAAACTGTGGCCCCTCCCTATCAAAAATATGAACAAACAAAAACATTAATGTCACTGCAAATACTATAATCTAAATCTTTTCCATTTGTCTACTGTTGAAAATTTGTTAATCTCCGGATAATGTCCTGTTAGAACTACTGGGATAAGAAGTTATTATATCATAATAGTCCACGTGTAACTAAGGTAAATAAATAAATACTGATAATGTCCTACTGCAAAAGATTTTCAAATACCCCACTCTCCCCCAAAAAACCAACTGTTTTGCTTTGTTGTCTTTCTAATGGAATTTTCTAAAAACAAGCTCAAATGTATATAGTCATTCCAAAATTGTTACCATATATACAAGTATTAGTTTCATTAGAGTAAAACCTGAATAAAAGTCTCTAAAAGTGTCCCTTTTTATTATTGCAGGAACCAGACTAGTACGAACATGTACAAGTATAAATATACAAAAATAGAGCAGAATAAATATGAAGAACTGGCAGATGGGGAAAGGAACAAAAGGGTCGAGTTGAAGAAAACAGATAATCCAAATATTACCGACCGTCTCAGAGGGGCAGGGTTGAGGAATTGCTGGCAGTCAGTCTTGTGCTCATAAGAATATCTAGAAAGTCACTCATCAAGAAGGAATTTACAAAATCTTACATGTCTTTTTTTTTTTTTTTCCAAGAGAAAAAGAAAAAAAAGAAACCTCCCACCGTGTAAATACTAAGATCCTTAAAAGTTTTATTCACACTATAATTCCAATATCATATGTAATAATTTACATACCGACTATTGTCCTCATGTTTATTGTTAACATAACATTTCAGCCATTGTGCCCTCCTCAAGTTAACTTAAAGGGAATTCAAACAACCCTTTTTTACTCTATATTTACCTATGAACAGATACAAGTCCAGCACACTGCAAAACTACTGCCCTTCATTTATTATGTAATTATATTTTATATAAACTTAGAAGCTGCCCTTTGGACAGACTTTTAGGCTAGCTCCTGCAGAGGGATTTTGGGCCTTCAGCCTTTTACCCTCAGCATCCTATGTGTGTAAAAGTTATAATAATTTAGAAAAATAAAGTTATTTTACCTTTATTCCTTAATTTGGCATAATCTTTCTTCATATACACAACCTTAGTTTGTTTGCATTTATTTTGCATTCAATTTTTCTTTTCTTTTAAAAATCACCATTCTTTATGATCTCTTCACATAAATTAACTCTTAAAAGACATTAGGGAACCAAAACAATGTAATATTTCAAATACGTCACAGTATGGGTGCTAGGAAAAGAAAAAAGAAAAATCCATATGAGTAACATACCGTGACCCACTTTAGTTCTAATTATAGTTTAATTAGACAATATCATTTGCAATGAAAAGCGAAATTAAAGTTAAACCTTTAATAAAGAATTGTCTTTAAACCTTTCATTCTATCTGATATTTAAATTTAACTTTAAATGAGTTATTTTCTTAATTTTTAATCACATGTAACTACAATAGTTACTACCAGTTACTTCAAGCTGCTTATGATTCGTCAAGATCAAAAAAAATGGATGGACGGACAGACACACATACATACATACATACATACATTGCAGTTTATTTATATATAGGTTATTGAAAAAAAATTAAAGAAAAAATAAATAAACAATAAATTGTGATTTTCCTATAAAAAAAGAAATTATACATACACACACATCTATGTATGTTTGTTTGTTTCTAACACTGCAGCCTCTTACCATCCCCATTCTTTGCCAAATGCCTCCTACCACCACCGTATTTCCTAGTTCCTTCAAGTTGTTTATGATTTGCCAAGATCAAAAAAATGGACGGACAGACAGACAGACATACATACATACATACATACATACATACAGACATTGCACTTTTTTTATATATAGGTTATTGAAAAATTAAAGAAAGAATAAATAAACAATAAATTGTGATTTTGCTATAAAAAAAAAAAAAAAAAAATTATACATACACACACATCTATGTATGTTTGGTTCTAACACTGTAGCCTCTTACCATCCCCATTCTTTTCCAAATGCCCCACCACCACCGTATCTACTTTGAGAATCACAACTGTAAATCTACCTGAACAATATCTTATAATGGTCATATCTTGAGTTCTTTTGCAGATCTCAACACAGCCAACCAATCATATTCTCATGTTCTGCTGAAGCATTAAGTCCCAGACTACTACAATGCCTACTCATAACCAAATTAATATCCCTTCAATAAGCTGGCCACTAGAGATGAGGAATTTTATTCATGGCATGTCTAAACCATTTTCACATTTAGAGTCTTCTTCAGAGCCAGACAGAAATTTCAGATTAAAGCAAGGCAGATATTAATTGAACATTTATGCATAAATAGAGCCGAGTGGGATTTTATTTCTGGTTGATATCTTCTTCAAAGTCAATCAATCAATTTGCTTCTCTGTCCGAGTGGGAAACAACAGTGAGAAATGGGCCAACTGTAATCTGTCTAGGGAGGCAGGAAAGAAACTGCAACAATTCCTAGTAATTGGTAGCATTGAAATAAATAAATATAGTAACTTTGTAAATTCAGCCCCAATGTCTTTAAGGAGTCGACACATTGGCTAATGCAATAAATTGATGGAGGAGGTAAGCTTACAATCAAGTCGGTAAGGCTCAGTCTAATAATTATATAATATATATATATATATATATATATATATATATATATCAGCCAACACCAAATAGATCCATTTTTTTTTTTTTTTTTGTCTCTAATACCTTATATACCATATTGTGCTTGGGCACCTCGAGGTGATGTAATGGTTAGCAAGCTTGTCTTGCTAGAACAATTACAACTGAGTAGTGAGTTCGATCCTCACTGGGTGCCCCATACTTTCGGCCTTGTGCCACATCCGAGCTACGCTTGGAAAATCGCTATACCATATTGTGCTATTATTGTCCTTATTATATTTGTTTATTATTATTTTTATTTTTAACAAAATCCACTCCTACTCACAAATAACCTTCTGTGTATTGATATTAAAGGATGAGAGAAATGTGCTATAACTGTTTAAATTTCTTTTATTTTCATTTCCCAAGTACTTTCGATCTTCTTCTAAGATCATCTTCAGGGGTGCAAGTAGTACAAACTTTTTGCATTTAAAAGCATAATGAAAAATTACGGTAATGGATAGCAATGCACAGCTTTATATAAATATTTGTACCCCTGAACAACATATAGTTTTGTACTACTTGCACCCCATGAAGATGATCTTGGAAGAAAATCTAAAGTACTTGGGGAATTAAAACAAAAGAAATTTAAACAGTTATAGCACATTTCTCTCATCGTTTAATATCAATACACGGAAGGTTATTCGTGAGTATGACAGATTTTGTTAAAAATTAGCAGACATAATGTCTGTAATTTATTCAATTAGATATACATTGCAGTAATTATCCTTGTAGGAATAGGTTAAGTATTAAACAATGAAGCTATAATTAGGCAAACATAAAAAGTTAATGTTAAATTACAGTTTTCTGTCATCAGAAATTTAAAGAAAACAGTTTCAGATGAATAAAAAAGTCTTAGTGCAACTGGTAACTGCAAGTCAGCATACTGCACCTGCACAACTTGCAGTAATGTCCTGTTCTTCTATGATACCCACTAGTCATTTGACTTGCCTCCAGCAATAAGCAACACAATTTTAATTTCTGTAAAAGATATTTTCTTTTAAAGTAATTATCATTTTAGCCCCCTTACATACAATGTTGAAAAAAAAAAAAAAAATCAAGTTTTTGGAATTATTTTAATAGAAAAGGTAAAGACGAAGCCGTGTTTAAAATGTAAAAAAAAAAAAAAAAAAAGTACTAAACTATGGTGGAGGTTCACTGATTTTGACTCAAGCAATGAAGGTGAAGCAATTAAGAGAAGAGGAAAAAGAAAAAAAAAAAGGAAAAAGAAAGAAAAAAAAGAGGAAAAAGAAAGAAAAAAAAGAGGAAAAAGAAAGAAAAAAAAAGAGGAAAAGAAAGAAAAAAAAAGAGAAGAAAGAAAAAAGAAAGAAAAAAAAAGAAAAAAAAAAAAGAAAAAAAAAAAAAAAGAAAGAAAAAAAAGAGGAAAAAGAAAGAAAAAAAAGAAGAAAAAGAAAGAAAAAAAAGAAGAGGAAAAAGAAAGAAAAAAAAGAAGAGGAAAAAGAAAGAAAAAAAAGAAGAGGAAAAAGAAAAAAAAAAAGAAGAGGAAAAAGAAAGAAAAAAGATAAAGAAAGAAAAAGAAAAAGATAAAGAAAGAAAAAGAAAAAGATAAAGAAAGAAAAAGAAAAAAAGATAAAGAAAGAAAAAGAAAAAAAGATAAAGAAAGAAAAAGAAAAAAAGATAAAGAAAGAAAAAGAAAAAAGATAAAGAAAGAAAAAGAAAAAAAGATAAAGAAAGAAAAAAAAAAAAAAAGAAAGAAAAAGAAAAAAAAAAAGAAAGAAAAAAAAAGAAAAGAAAAAAAGAAAAAAAAAAAGAAAGAAAAAAAAAAAATAAAAAAAGAAAAGAAAAAAGATAAAGAAAAAAAATAAAAGAAAAGAAAGAAAAAGAAAAAAAGATAAAGAAAGAAAAGAAAAAGAAAAAAAAAAAGAAAGAAAAAGAAAAAAAAAAAGAAAGAAAAAGAAAAAAAGAATGAGGAAGAAAAGAGATTATATGAACCCCACACAGGTATCTCCTGCATAACAACAATCTGAATGCACTCATGGTTCACTGTAATACATCTGACCACAGTTTTGAATAAAAAAAATAAAAAAAATGCCAGTCTAATCAGAATAGAACAGGATTCACTGAGAAGGAAATGCATTGAGAGTGCACTGATCTCATAATCCCCAATTGTAAATCTAAAACCAGGAGGACATACCTTATATCACTGATCATTGCAAAGACAATAACTGCACAATGTGGTATACGAGATACGAGCCAGTAGAGAAAAAAAATATAGGTGATGAACATAACATCAATTAGTTATGTGTACAAATATTATATATATATATATATATATATATATATAAATATACATACAATCATATATATATATATATATATATATATAATATATATATATATAATATATATATTTTAAGATATGCATATATATATATTTGTATAAAAATAATTCCAAGAGGATAGAATCAGGTAGAACTCAATGTCCAAGGACAGAGTGTATATAATAAAAAGGCTTAGTGTTTAAATTTTATATATATATATATATATATATATATATATATATATTCAAAATATACTTTTAGATATGCTATATTCATGGGATAAAGTGCTCAATATCAAAGATACAGTGTATGTAAATATATATAACATTGATATACTCAGATATATATGTTTATATAAATATATATATATATATATATCTCATATATTTTGGCAGCATATTTTCATTTAAGCATGTTTGATTAAACAAATTAGACATAAGAGAACAAGAAAGGTAGTATGGTTGTGTTTAAATGAATAAGTACAACCATGGTACCTTCCTTGCTCTGTTTAATCATGAAACAACAAAGCTTATACATGATTACGAAAGGATCTTATTGAAAATAAACAAACACAACATATCTAAATTGTTTAATCAGATATGCTTTTATATACAACACACAAATAATCTGAGAGAGAATATGTAACACCAAACAACACTTCCATCAAACACTTCTAGCAACACTACAAGTCTTTTATATAGCTGAATATAACAGATAATCAAGCTCCTCCTAATGTCAGTTTAAGCAGACACTTTCTTTTTTCCTTACACATTTAAACTATAATTATAATTCCTTGAGGAACATAAGGACACAAGATATCATTGCCGTTTCTATGACAACCCAGTTTTTTTTTTGAGTAAGTTGTTAGCCTACTGTACAACCCCCAACCTGGAGGATCAGGTTTTGAATTCAGAATTGTCCTTCTCTTAGACCAGTTGCCATCTAAGGCTATAGAACCCGGTTTGTACTGCTATTTACTCATAGCTGGGGGGAGATGTAAGTGAATGTAATGGATTTAAGTGGAATTCAAAATTCCTCAATCCGAGCCGCTATCCATTACTTCACTATGCCTCATCTCTAAACAAGATAGGCATCATATACTCCAAAAACAAGGGTGTCAGTTTAAATTGACACCAGGAGGATATGGGCTAAATTATTTCATTATTTTCTGATGCATTAATGATTATACAAGGGCCACATCATAGGGAAAATAATTTTGTCATTTAACTACATATCCTTCTGGCATCAGCTTAAACAGACACCCATTTCCCCACCCATATATATAATACTGTATTTTCCAGCTTGCAAGACACTTTTTTTCCTGAAAAATGTGTGCGTGTCTTCAAAGACGAATGTAAGGCAGCGGCCAAGCTCAAGTAAGCTTGGGCGGTCACCTAACTGGCTCGACTGACAGGAACATGGATTTGTATGTTAAGTCATTACACTATAATGTTAGCTATCTAATTCAGCCTTTTATATGATGTAACCTCAGTACTTAACTGTTACAAGTATTTCCAAGACTATAAACATTTCTGGAGACAAGCCACAAGCTTAAACATGATCTGTTTAGTAGCCTTTCTGCTCTTGAATAGTATGTCATTGCCATACAAACAAAATTGGACGAGTGATTAATCTAAACAATATGAGGCTCCAGTATTTGAGGGAACTGGTGAATGTATTGTTGCATGAGAATGACTATTTTTTTCTTGGAAAATTCTTTCCAATATTAGGATGTATCTTCCAAGCCACAGCATGTCCTAAGCCAGAAAATACAGTAATACAAAACTATAGTTTTGGTAAGTAAAAATTGCATTGAAATATGTTAGAAAATTTCCAAGTTTTTATCTGAAATCAAGAAAATATGAACTTTAACAAAAATGCCCACAATATATGGAAAAAAAGATGTCAGTTTAAATTGACAGCAATTGGAGAGGGAATTAAATGAAAACATAATGAGGAATTCATTTTTGGATTTTTTCAGTGGGGGGGTGTTTAGACATCTGAATTTATAATGAATGAAAAAGTAAATTGCAAAAACATTGAAAGAGAAACTTCAACTGATGGAGATTTTTTTAGAGTAGGTATATTACAAATTAATAGGGAGATGATAAAAATAAATATTTGGAGAGATCTTCAAATTTACAAATTTGTACTTAAGCAAAAGAACTGAAGAGGCTCTGAAAAAAAAAATAAATAAATAAAATAAATAAATAAATAAAATAAATAAATAAAATAAACAAATAAATAATAAAGGCTTCTCCTTAAAAGCTGATTAGCTTTTATAAAACCTGAAGTCAAAAAAAAAAAAAAAAATTAGGATATTAAGTTATTCTTTTAGTGTGGCGTTCACCCTGAACAATGCCCAAGAGCCACTTAAGATAGAGCATTGCAGAGTAAGAGGCAAGGCTTATGTGGATGTATGTGAAAGACAACGGTTAACCATAGTCTTGAACAGGTTAAGATTATAGTGTTCCACAAGGCAGTGGTTCGTGGGAAGACTCCACTCGAGTTGAACTTACATCTCACCATGGAAATATGAAGGAAATAAGGATGGCTTGCTACAATGTTCATAGCATAGTGGGTCTTAGTCCTGACGGTTAGGAATGATGGAACTAAGAAATGTAGTTTATCAGAAGACTCCCCAAATAAATTTTTTAAAATAAAAAAAAAAAAATTATTTTTATTAAATATTTATTTTTCATCTATTCCTTAACAAAAAAAATATAAATCCTTTCAATCAAAATATGAAGGCACAAATATTGTCTGTATCACAAATGAAAAAGTGTTAACCAGGTAATTTAAGCAAAGGACAATATAAAGTGTGGGTTGTTTAGGGATTAGCTTGAATATAGAATTAATAATTTTAGATAAAAGATGAATAATGTCTAAAAATAAAGTGTGTATATATATTACATATAAAAGGAATTCAAAGATACCCCAAATGCTCTGTAATAAATACATTGAGCTCTCTTTTATGGATCAGTTTTAATATTTTTATATTATTAGGATTCACTTGGATTATTTACCCACAAATATATATATATATATATATATATATATATATATATATATATATATATATATATATATATGTATGTATGTGAAAAATATAGAAAATAGGAAAGAACTGGTTGAGTAAATAATCCAAAGTTCTTTAGTATTTTTTGTTATTATTTTTAAAATATAGTGCTTGATACAAAAGTAGAGCATAAATATAATTATTTATTTAAAAATATGATTCCACCTTGCTACATAAGAGGTCTCATGTTTCAAAACAAGAGCTGAAAACTTCAATATAATTATTTGAATTAAATTGAATTAAAGTAAGCTCTGTTCCATCTTCAAGCGAAATTTTCTTTGGAATAACTAATTTCTGAAATTTACGTGTTTTAATAGCATATTCATAATTGAAAGCAAAATTTCCATGGTAACAGCCAGGGCGAATTGTTTAAATAGGTAGGGGTGTTGGGTGTTAATAATTTGTATCAGTATAGAGTTACTTTCATAGATGTCAAATCAGGGTAAGGTGGGGGTGTCTAAATTTAAAACGGAAGATGTTTTCGCCTAGTCTGGTTTACGTGTCTATGGAGATTTATTTATTTTTTTATTTTATTTCTTTATGAAAGGGATTTGTGTAAATAAAAACTGCCGTAACATTTGTTTTTTGACAACTTCATAAAGGGTTATCTTTTTTTGTAGGGTATTTAAACTATTTATTTGGGCCATGGATTATAAAAATTATTTTATTGTATGTTTGTTTTTAAGCTAATTATTCAATGCATAAATTTGATGATGCCGGCAAAAAACCGTTAACTCATGTCTATTGTTTAATAGATTTTTATTATTTAGAAACTTAATAATGTGCAGTTTCTCATGGAGGCACAAAGGCATGGGTCATCCCAATTTTTACAAGTTCTAGTCCTGTTTATAATTTTCCATTTTACTTTAGGTGTCCTATTTATTTCCTTCAGATGCCAAATATATATATATATATATATATATATATATATATATATATATATATATATATATATATATATTAAATATAAATATTTATATATGGTGACCCCAAAAAACGGGAGCTTTTTAACAATCCAATAAAACCAAGAGTGATGGAAGAAAAATATTTTATTCATAGTAATTGAAACCTTAAAACATGCCATTTAAGAAACAATGATGGAATTTTCATTTTTTAAAAATTACGTCCTGTAGATGGCGTCCTCCTGTACAAATGCATTCTTGAAATCTGCTGTTGAGATTCCTCATTGACTGCTGCAACATCTCAGCTGGGATACTGTGAATTTCATCTTGAATTTTAAATGGCGAAACGTTTTCTTGCTCAAGGTCACTGTCTTGCAGTGTTGCCACTTGCTCATGTCTAGAAATACATACTTCAAAAATTCCCGTTTTTTTAGGTCACCCTATATATATATATATTTTTTTTTTTTTTTTGAAGAATATGGAAAACTGTTCCATTAAAACTAGATTACATGTTTCAGCCTTGCCGAGCTCCATCAGATCAAAACAAAAGAAATAGGTGTGAGTGTGTATGTATGTATGCTTAAATAAATTGGTAATACTTTTTCTGCTAAGCTGACATTTCTCCAAATGAAACAAAGGACTATATATATATATACACACACACAAACAAATATATATGTATATATCCCATTGTAATAATAACAAAGACATT